CGATGCCTAGCCACGTGCGTGCTCTTTTCCCCTCCCCGCAGCTCATCACGCACTAGTCCTTTCTGCCACCTTCTAACCTGCGAATCCTACCCCGAAACTAACTGCACCATTAGACTTGCCCTATCCTCAAACCCCTTCCGCGGCTTTCATCTCACTCAGTTCCATCAGGCACTGAGTCGCATCTCAGTCCACCCCACCTGTCATTCGACCTCCCGCCATAGCTCCGCGCAGGCCTATCCCCATCTACCTCCCAATCTACTAGGCTACTCCCAAAACTAACCTCATAGTCGGATTCGCCCTACCCAAACTCTATAGACAAGACTTTTTCTCATTTGGTTCTGTCAAGAATCGGGTGTGGGAACCGTTCTTCCTCCTCGCCATGCCCATTCCTCCCATCTCTAATTGCAAATGCACCCGGTGCGGATCCGCACCCGGCGCGGATCCGCGCCAGGTTCATTTCCCCCCCCTTTTTTTTTTTTCTTGCACTTCGTCCTTCGCTGCCTTCACCTACATCCGCCCGACAGTCGCCCCTCAGCTATCTGTCCGTCGGCCCCTCCTTTCTTCGTTGCCCCGTCGCTCCCCCGCTGCCTACCATCCTCCACCTCTCGTACATATCCGACAAGACCCCGCGTCCACGTTCACTCTATTTCGCTCCTCGTGTTGATGTCACCTCAAATCGACACCCCGCGGTCAAAAGGCGATGCCTCAAGTTCGTCTCTACAGCTCAGTTAGAAAACGTCAGCGCGAGTAGCGAAAACGGGCAATAGCGAGACCTCCCCCCGACTTTATATGTGCCCGCGCATCTACAGGCCACGCGAATTCCCCCTGTACCGTTCCAATTTTAGCAAATGCCCTGAAGGACTTCCACCCGCCCGACGCTTCAAAGGCCGCCTTGCCTCTGCGCACGCACCGAGTCCGCGCTTCAGGCCTTATGCAGGCCGGCCCCACGCTAGGGCCATGCAGATATTTTCTCCTTTGCCCCACCTCTCACAGATATTCCAGTTTTTCCGTCCGCCCCTACCCCTGTTGTCCGCCCAGATTCGCCCCCGGTCTTTAACAGACAACCCTTACACCCCCATCACGCGAATCTCCTCCGCATCTTCTCTGACTTCGCGAATCGAAGAAAATCTTGGTCGGGGTAACACCCCATGTCGGCCTAAAGGCCCTTCCGTCCCCCTTTTTGTGCGTACCCGGCCCATCTCACGGTCGGATCCTTCCCCCGCTTGTGGGTGTCACCCTTGCACAGAGACCATACCAATCTCCCTTGTATTGCCCCCATTGGAACAGACGTCCCGAAGGACAGCCGCTTCATCCCGCACACCATCTTGGCAGGGGCGCTCGTCATGTGCTATGAGTCTAATATCACCAGTGGTCGGGCTTCCCCCCCCCTCTTCTCCCCCTTTTGTGCGCCTACCTCGTCTACGGTCGGGCCCAATCCCGGACTCGCGCGCGCCAGCCTGGCACAATGGCCATGTAGTCTTCTCTGCATCCTCCCACGGTTGTTGGATACCCCGAACTTCACTCGTGGCAATTACCCCCACCCCCGCTCGGACTCGGTCTGTACTTCAACAGTTTATGGCTGGGTGCCCCGCTCCAAGGCCCCGGTTCGACGACCCGAACTCAGGACAGGTGTCGGAACCTTGGCATGGTCCATAAAATAAGGGCAGGGAACAAAACGTCGACATAAATTATGGTAGAGCCCAAAAATGGAGGCAATACCACCAACTTATTGGGCCGCGCGCAGAACCCCGCTGACGCCCCCTTCGGCCCTACAGCGGGGGCCCGTAATCGGGCTCCCCCAACAAGACAAAAGGGGGATAGTCCCACGAGACCCTCAACCCCTTCGCTCCTCGCTGTTCCGTCGCCATCGCGCCGCCGTCCGCTGGCCTCGAACCTTGAACCTCCGTCGCACGAACCCGCCACCGTAACCTATAGGGCTAAGCCCAAGCCTGTGATCAGCAGGCGCGGCTTCCCATATAAGGCGGTGCCGCGCGGCGTTCCGGCCAGGATACCGCCCGGTCACCCTTTCTACCCACATCTGTGCCCCCGACACCTAAGTGTCCGCGTCAGTCTACCACCCCGCGCCGTGGCCGTCCCATGCGCCTACCGGCACGCCAGCCCTACCCTCGGTCACACACACCTATCAAGAACAAACTTTCATTCCCTAACCAAGGTCGTAACACGGTCCAGGTCGGTCGGCTACCCCGGCCGCCCATTCAATCAGAAAAATCACACGCGGGCCTTGAATATTGCGTGCCCACCTACTCCCTACCGGGACAGGGCTGACCTTGGCCCGCGCGCGGACGACCTTCACGTTCTTCTGCACGAGCACTCAAAATCTAGGCTAACCGAACCTTTCTTTCACTTGCAGAAACCAGGGCGGATACCCTTGTAAGGGTATTCGCGTCGATAGCTTACCAGACCATATTAAGCGACGTCCCCGTCGCGTCGCCAAATCAAAAAGCTATAGATTTCCATCACATTCCAAATGGTGATGAGATTAGAACCAATCCGATTAGCCGACAGACTTCAGGGTTGAGGCCTCCATCAGACCATGCCAACACAACCTTACGCTGTCAGGGTTTCAACCTGGGTCTCCATTACCCCGACACCAGGACGCCGGTGTATTACGCATCAATACTACAGCATAAGTTCCAAGGGCCCCCAAACCATCCTCTTCCCCTTTGTCCTAGACAACCGTCGCCCTCTCGTTAGGTGTCCTAGTTAGCCTCTTCCTCATAAGCAGGACCATAACTAGGGACGCGGGCTTCGAATGGGGCCTATGAAGACATTCTCTGCCTTCTTCCACAAATTCCTCACAGTCAAACAAAATACACATGTATAAGCTTGTAGCCCCTCTCGGGCTTTTTTCCAGTCTAGTACAGAAATGCCAAGTCCCCATCTGGGTCCACCGTAGCCTGGCTGATCGGGCAAGGTCTACAGCCCACCGCGTTGTTACCTTAGCGGCAGTATCCTCACATTGGTTATACAATGGCAGGTATATCCCTGATAATCAATCAATCAGGGCTTCCAAAAGACTCGACTCCTATCCCGCAAGGTAATTTCCCCGGGGCGGGCAACTCCCCTTAAACTCTTATCTTGCGGGCCCGAATCCAGGTTGTGCCGGCTAGCAGCCATCCCCTAGGGGTTGCATCCAGGTGGCACTAAACTGTACCGTTAGCTTGGTATTCCTTTAAATATGTCTCAGGATTAGCACAGGTGGCCCGACGGGGCATCACGAACAATTCACAGGCCCCTGCGGGACTACGCAAGGACTTGAAGGCCTTTACCGGCTCTTCCGTAATAAGCACGGCATCCTTCGCTCAATCACAAACACCCCCCCCCCCCCCCCCCCCCCCCCGCTGGATCCACGAGGCCGCGGCCTCTGACTTGATCAGAGCCAGCAGTCGCCCACCCTGAGGCATCTCTCGCCCTTTTCAAACACTTCAAGCAAACATGGTTCCCTCTCGTCAGACTTTACCATACAGACAATTTTTTCCACACCATTCAATTTTTACCCACTCTTACTTGGTGAAGGGTGCCTTTCACAGAAGATTCTCTGGCCATCCCTTTTTCGTATGGGATGACTCCTTACACGACCTCTTCCAAAACCATGAAGGGGCCTCCGTACAATACAATTCTCACCTTCCAGAACCATGAAGGGGATCTCAATCATCAAACAACTCAAACTGAGTGACCACCTTCTGGGTCCCTATACGATTTGGGCAATGATGTTTTAGTACGACCACACATGCAAATTCCTACATCCATCAATCCCGTAGGATTCTCACAGTTTTCACAAACAGGCTGCACTTCCCCTCCTTATACTCTGCCCTCTCGTCCGCTTGCAGCAGACCGCACGAGTATACCGGAGGGTAGACAACTTTACAATTTACACAATCACGCCCATGAGATGTATCATGTACATCTCTCACACAAAGCCAAACATTCATCGAGATAAATCCACACATGTGAGAGCGATAGTGATCGTCACAAGACAAGTCCCATAGGATCTCAACTCATAGTACACTCAGGGAGTAGAATGCCTCCCCCAACAATTCGAATACAAGCACTCAACTCGATACCCCGCCTGTCTGAGTAGGACTCATAACTCCACTGTACACTCATCAAGTACACTCGGGAACATAGCATCTGCCTAATCATCCACAGAATACCTAGCCCCTGTCCTCCCCTGCTGGGAAAACTCACACCCCGAGTGCTATAAACTCCCAAATCCCATTCAAAGCAGCAATAGTTTCTGGGTCACAAAACCAAATGTAACTAAATGGCCTCATATATCACACAACTGAGTTCTCCCCCTGGGTCGTAGCCCCCGAAAAAACTGAAGAGGAAACAAGCGAACAAAAATCACACGCATATGTACAATCGGATAGAAACTCATCCCACCACTCCTACGCACACACACTTCTAGGGCCCCCTCAACTGACTCAAGGTATGTACACCCCCAACCCGCCCTGTGTGTGTCAAGGATCTCTAGTCCTATCAATATATAGACAGACCGATCCCTACTTACACAATTCTTCCTGGTTCTGCCTATATAAGTGAGCCCTGCCCCCATCTGGAGCTCGCTCCACTATCCTGCCCTGTCTGTCATAGAATTTGTCGTCGAGCTCCGCAACTCGCCCCTCGGCCTTATCCTCAAGGAGCTCTGGACAGTCCACGGCTCTATGTCCTCCCTCCTTGCACCAAAAACAAGAGGTATCATGCCACCTAGCAGTCTTCTTCTTCCTCCCTTGTGAACTGGAGGCCGAAGGCGCTCCTATGGTCCCAGTAGTCACCTCGTGATACGAGGACGATCCCATATGGTCCTGAGGCCCGGGCTCCATACCCTCAGCACCCTCACCCCCTCGTGCGGCTGTGCTCCCTGGCCCGCGCTCTGGCATGTCCAACTCTTGGGGTCCCTCCTCATGAGTCCTCTCTCTCATCACCGCCTCATCCCTACATTCTCCTGACGGCTGAGAGCCCCCCATAGCGGCGGGCTCACTCATGACCTCTTGCTGCTATTGCCGTCCCGAGTCAGACCCTCCTGAGTCCGTCTCCGTGGCCCACGACCCCAGCTCCGCCCTCAACTCACCCAACCTCGGGGCCTGCTCTGGAGCGTCAAGTCCCTGAGGCCCCTCCCGCGGTGTGCCTATCCCCATGGCTATCGTCAGCTCATGCAAGAGCGAACCTCTCCTCTTCGTGGACATAGCCATAAGCGACTCCTGTGCGCCACCCTCCTCCTCGACTGCGTCCAAGGGCGCCTCCTCCATCGGCTCGGCCTGACGAGGGACCTCCACTGCTACTCCCCGACTCGGTGAAGCCTGCATCCCACGGCCATGGCTATCGGCACCGGCTGGCCCCCAGACCGCCGAGAGCCTATCCATAGAGGCTGCCATCTCCCCAAATCTCCTCTCCCACTCAACCTCTCTGGCCTGGCTCCTCACCCTCTCCTCGGCAAGCTGAGTAGTCAGGTGCTCTACCTCCAACTCCTTAACCCTGAGCTCATTGCTGAGTAGATTATACCACTGGAAAGATGTGACTGCCGTCTCGCATACCCTCCGATCCATGCGCTCAATCGCCTGCCTGGTCGTGGAGAACCCCAAGTCCCCCATCTCTCTCAGCTCGCTCGTCCCCTCGTCCGCCCGTTCTGCCTCTCGTGACCTCTGGCGGGCTGCATCCCTCTGGCTCTCATACCTAGCCCACAACTCGTCGATCCTCTGCTCACTCGTCTTCGGCTCGACCGACGGTGTCGGCTCTATCCCCGCCGCCTCCATCTCAGCCTGTCTTGCGTGTATCTTGTCCAGACGGACCCGCACTCAAGCGGACTTCTCTTCGCGGGTCTCTCTTGGGGTTTCTCCCACTCGCGGCCCCTGGCCCCCTGGAGTCGACGCCTCCGCTTCCATCCCTCCGCTCGCGCACGACACTACTGGCTGTGACCTCGCTGGAACAGGCTCCTCGATAACTGGGGTCTTGGTCACGTACGTGGCCGATGGCAAGTCAAGGGGCACCTCCACCCTCGCTCTCTCATACGCTCCCTGGTCCTCGGCCTCTGTCTCCTGCTCAAGCATAGTGGTGGCCTTAGGGGGAAACTCCGGAATCTCCTCACTGCCTGGCTCAGGAATCCCCTCTGGCCACGAACGCTGTGTTGGCTCTGGAGCTGGGGAGCATGGAGGGGTATCGTCCCCAACCGTGATCACCTCTCTACCCTGAGGTCGTACCGGATTCGGTCGCTCGGCTGCCATCTCAGGATCCTGCGGCTCCTCTCGATCTCGCATGTCTATCTCCATCTCAGGGTCCAAGGGTTCCTCCAACGGCACATAGTATGCCGTCTCTACTGGGCCCTCCCCCAATCGTGAGGCCTCCCATCGAGATGCATCCAGATGAGTCACTACGCTTCGGAATGGCATCTCTGTCGGTATATCTAGTTCCTGCGCTGATGGCAATGGCAAGGGCGGCCTCAACTCCTCGCTCGTAATCCGCCGAAACTCAACCGCCCGGAGGCCACACGCAGGGAACGACTCCTCTGCCAATGCGGGCCCTGCGGGCTCATCCTCCCGCTGGGCTGGGGCTCCCCTCCTCTCTCTGGCCAGCCCCGCCTCTCTCGGCGCCGGTTCCCATGGCCTCTTGCTTCGCCGTCGCCTCTCAACTCTGGGCTCGTGCCTCTCGTGCTGTGGCCGTCCGAACACCCTCCTGAGCTGGGCCTGACAATTCTCCCAGTCTTGAGCCCTCTCCCGAATCTGTTTGCCCACCTGCCTCTCTGCCTGCCTCGTCCAGATAAGTAAGGCCTGCACCCATTCCTCCCGCGCAACCCCCTAACTCAACATGTAGTGCTCATATGCGAGGATGAACTCATTTGCGTTCCCCTCCTCCAATCGAATGGGCATGCCATCACGCCCCCTAGGGGAAGCTCTCAACCTCTGCATCCCGGCCTCCACATCTGGCCAAGTCAGGGCCTCCTCACATATCTGAGCGACAGGCTCCTGGAACCGCCCTACACCCCGCAAGTGGTGAATCCTCTCCGCCACTGACCACCCTCTCTGTGCCGCATGGTCCCGATATACGTCCAACAAGAGCTCAATGTTGTCGTCATCAAACTCAGGCGTAGGCTCCCTCCCAGGCGGCCCATGCTGCTCGCCCCCTCTCGCCATCCTCTTGAGCTCCTGGCGTGGCAGTGTGTCCCTCCCGCCCCTCTGCATGACTGCCTTCGAAAAGTCAGACCTGCACAATAGGCGAGAGACAACAAACAGGCACACAGCAGGGTCAGCAACTGAGCCATAGGCCTAGGGATACCCTACATACCTTCCACACCCATCCACACCAATCATCCACCTATCTAACCACCTGACCTGGGTAACACCTAGGCAAGACTATATTCCTAATGAGGTCTCATGGCCCCTTACCTATTCCCTAGCCACAAACTTCTTCAGCCTTGTCCCTGATACCCAGTCTTGCCATCCTTCCCCATCCTGCTCTTCGATTTGGTAGGCCCCAAACTCGCCACATCGCACGATCCTATAGGGTCCCAGCCACCGTTTGTCGAGTTTCCTAGATCATTGCTTTTCCAGCGATGAGTCATACAGCAGCACCGCATCCCCAACTTTCAGTGGATCCTTCCTTATTCGGGCCATCTGGTCCCACCTCATTTTATCTTCCATACGGCTCCTCTCCACCTGGCCAGCGGCCTCTCGTAACCTTTCCTCCGCGGCTCCCACTTGTCGTGCTCGTATATCGAGCAGCTCTTCAAAGGACAGGTTTACTTCTAGGTCCTGGCGCCTCCACGTCTTCATGAAGCTTTCTATCGGGAACGTGGCATGCCTCCCGTACCATAGAGTGGCTAGCACATACATGGTGGTCCATTTCACTGTAACATTTTCCACGAAGAATGCCGCTGTCATGAACTTCGGCCACTGGTTAGGCCTCCCCTCAGTCCACTTAGCCAAGAGTTTTGTGATGGTTCTATGCCCTCTTTCCACGGGAGCGTTCGCCTGGGGGTGCGCGGCAGTAGTATAGTTCGCCACCACGCCATACCATGCAAGTAAGGTCTACCTCGTTACAGGTGAATTCCGACCCCCGGTCCATCACAAACTCTCTGACGAACGGATAGCGCAGGTAGTACTCTTCGATGCACCTTGCTAAAACTAGGCTTGTTTTCGTACGAATAGCCCGACCGTCCACGAATCCGGTAAGGTTGTCCCGTGCGTCGAAGATATAGTTACTTCCATCCTCCCCGAGTGGCATGAACAACAGGTCCAGGTGTACGACTGCACCCACTTTCCTTTCCAGCCTGGGGGCAGAGGCTCCCCAGGCCTTTGCGATGACCTCTGTTGGCAAGGTACACAGGACTGGCAGTACTTGATGCCAGTACTTGATGACCATAGTCATCATTCCATCCCAATGGTATAACTCACTTATCTTCGCGCACGTGGCACTAACCCTTTTGTGCCCCCGTGCTATACCATCGTGCAAGGCTGCTATGACATCGATCTGCCGGTTCCTCCCACATACGATCCTCTTGGGGTTCCCAAGCTGTTGCTTTATAAACAGATGGTCATCTCTCTCTACGTAGAGATGCCTCATCTTTTTGGCTTTAGCACTAGCGTCCCTATCCCTGATTTCGCACGACAGGAGTAACCCCAATTCCCGATAGACCCTGTCATACTCCTCAGCGCGGAAGGCCTCCCTGATCTCTCCCTCTTCGAACTCGTCGTCCTGACTCTCAGGAATAAGAAGCTCGCCCTTCTCGGAATCCACTGCGTTCCTCTAGCTAAAGTTCCCCTGCAGGAGCGTGTTGGTGAGCAAGTACTTTCCTCCCATTAGTTGCTCATGCTTCTCTACCTGGGTTGGGCCTTCCTCTATCGTCCTCACCTCCCCCGCCAGACTATGTGCCCCTGACAATGCCAACTTCATCATCCAGCTAACATCCCTACTCCCCCATGGATCTTCTTCCAGGAAGGACTTGAGGACCAACTCCTCCTTCTGCTCGTACCCCCTTGGTGCCAGCTATATAGGATGCGTGACGCAGCTAGGCACCCTCAGCGACCACTCATTTATGTGGAGGCAGACATCCTCCTCCTGATCCAAGAACCCGTCAACTGGTGGGGTATCCTCAATTGATTCTTGGCCCGCCCCATCCCAGTTGATACGGCTCAGCCCATCTGCCTTCTTCTTGTCTCCGGGAATCCTCTCCAACTCAAAGTTAAACATCCAAATGTAAGTCAACCACCTCGCGATGGTTGGATCAGATGGAGTATAACTTTTCAGGGAACATGCCAGCGCGGTAGGGTCCACCCTCAAAATGAGCCTCCTGCCAAAGATGTAGTTCCGGAAGGTCCTCAGGCAGTGGAGTACCGCCAGCGTCTTCTTTTTATTAATTTCTCTCAGTCGTATTGAGGGTACGACTTTCAAACCTCAACGGCCTCTCCTTTCCGCCAGCATCCGCCTGAATCAGGACTCCTCCTAAGGCAGTTGGCCTAGCGTCCGTCTCGACAACGAAAGACTTCTCCTTCGTGGCCTCCTAATTCTGCGCCCCCAGCACCAAACCTCCTTCCTTAAATTCTCTCTTCATCCCTTCCACAGCCTTTTCCTAGTCATCGCCCCAGGCCCACTCCTGACCCTGACGCACCAGCTTCCTCAAATGCTCCGTCTTGGTGGCGAAGTCCTTCACAAAACTCCTCCAAAACCCGCAGGTCCCAAGAAAGCTCTTCACGTCCGTTATCGACTGGAAGGGGACTGGCCACTCTAGGATCCTGTCCGTCTTTTTCACATCTGGCCTCCGCCCTTTCTTATTGCAGACAAAGCCCAAAATCGTGGCCTCCCTCATACAATGCTTCGACTTGGGGCCGCTCGCCGTCAGGTTGTGTTTCTCAACCAGACCCAGGACCTGATCGATATCCTGGATATGCTTCCAGACGAATCGCCTCACTCCTGGCATCACTTCGTCTTCCTCCTTCTCCTCTGGACCCTTGACCACCAAATCGTCAATGTAGGGCTGAGTGATATGTGGACTAACCGTCTGCATGGCCCTAATCATGTGCCTTTGCACCATCGCCACCGCATTAGTCCACCCCTAAGGCGCCACGTTCATGTGGATCAGCCCCTTGGCGTATGCATCGCCGTCACCGGCCTATCCGGTGGGTACACAGGAAACTGGTCATACCCAGAATAAAGGTCTATAAGTGAGATTATAGGCCTCCCTGCGCATGACTCCGACAGGGCGTCTGAGTTTGGCAATCCTCCCGCGTCCCGCACCGTTACTGCATTCAATCGTTGCAGATCCTGCACCCACCGTAGCGTTCCGTTTGGCTTGATAAAACAAAACCAAGGGGACGCATACGGTCCACTAGAGTAATCCGCCACATAGGTCCTCATCTTCTCATCCAAGTAATCCACCATCTTCTTCTCTTCATCCGGATTCGGGTACCGCACGCCCCTCAGGTTCCACAGCTCGTGTGGGACGGTATGGATTCGTATCATCGGGATCTTATCCACGTCCAACCTCCCACGCTCGTCGTCATTAAACGCATACACGCAATGCCTCCTCTTCATGGTCTCCACCATCAAGGTCCTCTCCTAGGGCGAAAGGAAGCCAGGCTCGCCAATTATTAACCCTTCCTCATTCTCATTATTGATGCGGCACGGCCCTGCCCGCGCGAGCTCCCGCATACGCCTTATCAGCCATCGCTCGCTCTCATAATAGGCTTCCTCGTCCTCCCTGACAAGCACGGAGACCGGGTGACACTTCTTATCTACAGTCTTGTACCGCCTTTGGGAACCCTGCTTAAGCCCTCCCCTAAAAAAGGCCGACTTGTCGTTCGGGCCTAGGCCATCGCAGGGTCCCCTTTCCTCCCAGGAAGCCGATAAATCAGCTCCACTTCTCCTACCTGAGGGCTTTCCAGGACCTGCTCCCTCAATGCCCTTATGGCTTCCGGGTCCGCCGTATCGTGCGCCGCCACCACCTCCATTGCCTTATTTACATCATTAAGGCTCAGGGATAACACCTCGCCTGCTCCTTCCTCCTCCTGCTCCTCCCGGAGTCTCCGTCGCGCATACTCAGACTCCTCGAAGGTAAAGGAACCGAGGTTGAGCCTGTTCCTCCCACTTTCGGGTCCTTTGTTCCGACACTTAATGATTTCATAGTTTTCGCAGGCCGGATCAGACAAAGCCAGGATCATCGATCCCTCATGCCTGTTGAAGACCAAGGTCTCCGTTCGGCAGAGGAACGACCTCCCCAGAAGGATAGGGTGGTCGATATCGGGCATGACGAAGAAGCACGTTCGCGCTCTTACTCTCCTAATGTCCACCATCACATTAGACGCAGTGCCGTAGAAAATGGCCTTGCAGTTGGCACCGTGCAGCACACCATGGTCTGAATGGTCAACTTCCAACCCTAACATCGTCGCGTCCCGCTCCTGGATGATATTCATCTCCGCGCCCGTGTCCACCATTGTGATGCTCGGCTGGTCCCTCACCTTCAAATCCACCAACCCACACGCCACACATTTCCAATCCATCCTGGTGCCCGCCTCTGTCCACTCTATCTCCCTGGGCAGAATTGAGCTCAGGTGGACATTGGGCACTAACCTTCGCGAGAGTCGCCCTTTCAGCTCGCCCCGGAGCCTTGGTGCTGAGGCCAAAATGTCCTTTAAGTTCATCAGATCATTATGGCCCTCCAGGCGCTTATCCACCATTCGCTCCACGTCAAAGCCTTCCTCCAGCCGAACTGCGTACTTCTTCCTTTTTGGCACGCCATCATGCAGACTCTGCTCCACCCCTCCCTGAGCCGCTCTCTTCTTGGCCCTCTGTTCCGCCTTCCGGTCCTCCTCCTGCCGGAGCCTCTCGTCCTCTTCGTCATCACCCTCATCTTCCTCTTCTTGAACCTCTACCATTTCCTTTCTTCGTTCGGGCTCAGGGTCCTTTCGAGGGGGCGCCCGACTGGGTGCCTAGCTAGGCCCTTAACTGGTGGTAGCCTTACTTTGGCCCCTAGTCTGCGCGGCCTGCGGTACCCTTCCATGCGACGTAGGGGGTCTGAAGGTCATCCCTGACCTAGGACCTGCCCCAGCCGCCGCCACGCTTGGGCATCCTTGCGGTCCTGATGATGATTCCGGGCCAGACCCATAGAGCATCGCCTTAGGAAGGTTCATTTCCCATTTCCGCGCATCCTCACACATCACCCTTAATCGTTCCTGGTACCTGCCCACCTTCGCAAGCAGGTCCTCCATCCTTTCCAGGATGGTCAGGGCCGACTCTCTTACCACCTCCTGCGCCTCATCGTCTGACTCGACGACTATAGGCTTCTCCTTTATAATCCCCGCCTTCAGCCGCTGAGTCACTTCCTCGTTTTCATCCACAATCTCCTCGACTCTCACACCGGGGTCTTGCCTTTCCTGCCATATCTTAAACATTGTTGGGGCTGCCGGAGGCCCTGCCGCCGCTCGCCTGAGGGTTTCCTGCCTGATTCCTCTCGGGGTCTTGGGATCGATATGCTTCCCCCATCGATCGTATATGTCCCCATCCATACATGTGGAGATTAGTCCTGCCAGCTCGTCGTCCCACCGTTGTTGGCAGAATCGTACGGTGTGACCCACCTCGCCGCAATGCCAACGAGTTGCATTCCGCCAGTCGAAGCGGGGCCTCCCATACCCTTGGCCTCCTCCCTGGCTACCTTGGCCACCCTGGTTCTGACCCCCTTGACCATTCCAGCCTCCTCCACGGCCTCCATCATTTCCTCCTCGCCCCCGACCGCCCCCTTCTCTACCCCCTTGGCCCCCTCCCCCGGCCACACTAGCTTGCGAGGCCTGCTGGGAGGGCGGCGGTTGAGCCATGGGCTGGCTTTGAGTTGATGGGTAGCTCGGGGGGCCCATACTTGCGGATGGGCCGGAATAGGGGACCATGTGCCCCACGTGGGCCTGACTCCCTCCACACGAGACACAGTGGTTGCAACTGGGCCAGGGCGCGGACTGACAATGCGGCACCCAGTGCTCGCAAGTTGGTGGCGGCCCCATGTGCGATGGTCCTACTGACACTGGCGCGGCCGAGGCGACAGACGGCGGTGCGGCAATGGCTTGGGGGGCCTGCCCTCCCTGCAGCAAATTGCGCTGCTTCCTCTGGGCCTTAGTCAGGACCTGGGAGCCTGTCTCCCCTCCGCCGTAGTCTTCTTGCCCAGCCTCCTCGTCTACTGCCCCTGACGTCCGACTTTGAGCCACTAGCACCCCTCTTTTTTGTATCTCCCCTTCATTGTCATACCCCAGTGTCGCCAATACGTCCGTGACAATTCTCTTCACCCCTGGGGTCCCGGATGCAGTAGCATCCCTCTCCTTCCTCTTGCGCTTTTGCAACCTCATTTGGTGCTGCTCCACCTGGTTTAGACTCCCTTCCTCCACTCCCTTGTCAATGGTTGCCCAGGTTAGCCTCTCGCTTCCTTCCCCATACTTCGTCAGCTCTGTGGCCTCCAACCCTGTGAGCAGCCCCAAAAATGTGGCGCACTGCGCCTCCTCAGAAATCCCGTGCACTTTCCTCGCCTTTTTCTTGAACTCGTGCACGAACGCCCCAATGGTAGAGAAGTCCTCCTTGTTCATGGCCTCCAAGTCGGCCATGGTCAACAGGCCGTCCCCCAGCCTATACTTCCTTCGCATTAGGTCCCCAAACTTTGTCCAACTGCCACCGGCGGCATCCACAACCTTAGTTACTTCCCGATGGTGACTATGCAGGACATACCTCAGGACCCGCTGGAGCTTGACCTCATCTGACAGTCCCACCAGCGCCTGCTCCATCAGATCCAACCAATCAGATACCCGATCCCCTTTGCAGTGGAATGTCTCAACCTTTGGGACATTGCTCGACGCCCTCTCGCGCTTGTCCAAGGCATCGATGAGGTCATCGAGAGTCACAAGCTTCCTCCCACCGTCCGCCATCTCTTCGACATTTTGGCCACCCGCCTTCGACTTCAATCTTCCTGTTATAAAAGGCAATGGGACAAAGGACCCCACTCAGCGACTCAACCTTCCATGACCCTATCGGGTGACCACGTTAGACACCCCATACTCTAGACCTGGCAGGCATTCCTTCTCCCATTTCCCTTGGGCTCATCTAGATAACGCTTATCCTTACCATAGAACTTCCTCATCCACATACAACACTCAACTGTCAACCAAACCACCAATCAATCAATCATCCAACCCGTAGTCATATAGATCACCATAGAGTCTGTCTCATAATCCTCCTCTTTACCCGCTCATATGCCTAGTTTCTCTCTTACCCCCATACCCGGATGTCGTTCCACCAGGGACAACGGTAGGTTTTCGTCATCCCCGACAACGGCGCCACCTGTCGAGCGCATCGGTCCGGCGCCGCACGCGGCGGCGCAGGACCCTCTTGGCCGCGTCACGCAGGAGTTGGACCAACCTCGACACGAACGCGCAAATAGAGCTTCCTTAGGCCGCTCCGGCCGAGTGCGCCAGCCATACCTCTTGCGAGCCCTTACGACAGGATAGGGCCTACGCGAGGCACAATTTACCTCCACCTTACGAGAGCTGTCACCTCCCATCGGTGGGCGTATCCCCGCCGAGCTACCAATTCACAATATGAAAGCTACTTCGCTGCAATCGCAGAGGTGGACCAGCCAAGGGCGTTTCTCGTTCGCTGTAGCATACGGGGTACGTGCGGTAATACGCCTATTGGGCCCGCACACGAACCGACATCTTGGGGGGGCTGAAGTCCCAAGCGCGACTCGTCGTCGGTCGACTAGGACGCATCCCACACACCACGCACACACCACTGTAACAACCACATGACAACAACGCACACACGGAACGACGCAACGCAAACAACGCGACAACGCTCCTAGCCCCTCGGTAGCCGTCCCATAACTTTCCAATACGGAAATCGAGTAGGCATCGCGCGCAGAATCTTTATATAAAAGCAGCGCCGACGCAGGGCTAACTCATATCGACTCGTAATGCAAGCGTACGCAAGCGGTCGCAATGATGGCGTACCATGTAGTACCCATACTCGCGCGGTCCTCGTTAATCTCGAGGGTCGCGTTCGACACTCAAGTGTCGGCTGACACGCGCCTTGAGGGTTAATCTCTCGWCGCTGGACAACCGCCATGCGCGGTTGAAGACCACACACCCTCTTCTGCACCCTTATGCAGAGCGGGTGGTACACAGGTCCAAAGCCTGTGGTGGTAGTCGTATCTCGCGGCCTTAGGCGTAGGTCCTCCCCGGGCCTGGGCGAAAGTCAAGGGGTTTGACTTTGACGGCTGCCACGGACTTCAACGTCCAACCATAGAAATCTCTAAAAAGTAGACAGGGCACACACAAAAACAGGAAGAGGGGCTAGGACAAAGGCCCCCCCTTGCCTTAAAAGGAGTCGTGACCTTGGGGCACCCTTCCCCCCTACGGTTGGTGCCGGCGGCCTACAACAATCCAAGCGCTGCACTTACACGCGAGCCCGGCGATCCCATAACCTTTAGATGTTGGGGCGGCGAGACGTCGCGCGCAGGGCTCTGATATAAAACTGGGAGGCCGCAAGCTAATCCTATGCTAACCACTGATGCCAATCATACGTGGTACCCGCGGCTCCGGCCTCGCGATATTGAATGGCTGAAGGAACGCCTCGTGAGTGGTTACCCCTCACGATATTGAACGGCTGAAGGACGCGCCGTTCGGCCCTCGCGACATTTCCGCCCTTCAGGTGGGGTGTCCCGCCAGCCAAAATAAACAGGCTCTATGCAAGGGGGACCCCTCCCCCCTTTTGGAGCCTGGGGCTTGGGATGTCTTGGACAAGGACCTTGAATTCCGGCCCAGAACCAACGTCCGACCAAGAAAGCCCCAAGACGCAAATAGGCAGAGGGGAGGGTCCTCCCTGTCCCTCGATCCCAACCCTTACGTGGTGCTTAACATGGCCTCCTAGGCCTCCCGAGCACTCATCATACATATACTCATGCATACACACAAGAGGGAAATAGAATTGTGACAATCACTTCTCACAGGCACAGTGGGATTCCTCACAACCATGTATACATACATGAAGTCGCAGACACCCCAAATCCCAAATCCGAATCACAGGACATACCTGCAATCACACCAAGAGTCAAACGACAAAGCACGCACTACACGGAGTCAACCCCAACCATTCTCTATGCTCCTTCATACCCCTTCGCTTTAGCCATGCAAGCCCCAATCGCCGACCCAACCAACCTTAATTAAATACTCAGTACCTTTGTTAAATGGCCATTCAATAAAAGTCCGGGTGAAACCCTTAACAAACAGTAAAACCACCAGGGCTAAAGCCTTTTATGTTGAGTATGGGGAATGAGTTGAAATTGAGTCGAAGACCGACCAATCGGCAACCGACCTGCTATCAGTGATAACCGGAGATGATCCTCAAGGGATCGAACTGAATCTAGTCTTGATCTTGAACCGAACAATCAAGAGGACCTATAACACACGATATGCCAATCCCCAAGCTAAGATCATAAGTGTATGGAGAGTACAACTCCATAACATATTCTTACTCAAATCCTCCTAACTAGCCAAACCTAAACCTACCTTTAAGCAGTGCCCAAAGCAAAGGCAGACCCTGGCTGAATCTTCCCTACGCAGGGTGGATTGCCAAGATCGCCACCTGTCAAAATATAATTTAACTCCACTAAATCCAGAAAATTTTGGCAGCTCTTCCCGTAGGAAAAGTGCCTTTTCATAATTTATACAAGCTCGAGTCTCAAAAGCAGGGGTATTCTACAACTCTTGAAAGCCAAATTTTGTCTATCTCTCTGACTTAGCAGAAAAAATTGGGCAACATCACCTTTGGAATTGGGGATTTTCCAGATTTGTACCAAGTTGAAGTTAAACTCCGCCCCACCTCGAGTTCAACTTAGACAAAATCTAGCTAACTTCTTAGTTTTGCAGAAATTTCGGCACCACTTCCCCTAGAAAAGAGCTTTCCCAAAATTCATACAAAGCCAAGTCTAGAACCTGAGACTAACTCTGGCATTCCAAAGCCCTGTTTTGTCTAACTCCCTGAATTAGCAAAATTTTGGGCAGCACTCTCTTTAGAAAAGGAGGCTTTCCAGATTTTTACTAAGTCAGATATGACTAAAAGACAACTGAACTTTAACAAGTCAAAAATTTGTCAAACTCTTTGAATCTGTAGAAATTTCGGCAGCGCTTCCCGTAGAGAAAGTAGCTTACCAGAATTTATACAGGTCCAAGTATAATAGCGACCCTCAGAAAATGCAAAAATCGATCTAAGTAAAATAAGGTTTGCTCARACAATGCAGGAATTGACCTAACTCTTATCGCTCTAGAACGTGGCGAGCCTCTAAAGCAACTACCTATCAACCTGAAACCCAGACCAGKTAGTAACCTCACCYAGCCATATGCARGCCAAACCACAAAGGTAAGTACTCTCACCATCCCCAAGCCAATCTGAACAAACAATAGTTCGTTCCTTCAGTGAGTTATCCCCTCATACCCAACTTACATAAGGCATAGGTCAGGGCACCTGAACTTACAGAGCACACCCAACTTAGCCAGGCCCAAAGTCAGAATACCTAAGCTTATAGAGCGTTCTGACTTGGCCAAGTATACACAAACAAAGGGTACAACTATTTCTCTCTTCTTTGGGCGTATGACTAGACCACTCTAGCCGCCCTGAACTCTTTAGATAGCCAACTTATATATACCTCTCTCAATATAGTCTTCAAAGGGACATAAAGCTGAGCCGTTCAACTTAGAACATTGCTCAGTCTGCCCATGTTTACCTTCAGTCATATCTCTTAAATATATTCTCTTCAATTGTGATAAGCTATAGTCAGGCTACCTAAACTTATAGAGCGGCCCTACCAGCCTATTCTTAATAGCATAGTAATATAATATAGCCAAGTTATATCCATTSGGTTCCAACATGTGCGAGGCATTGGGTCAGACCACCTAAACTTATAGAGCGGTCTGATCCTCAGCCAGGTTCGTTTCTCTCTGATCCAATCTGTGCGAGGCAGAAGGGTAGGCTACCTAAACTTATAGAGCRGTCTGCCCCCTRCCAGAGWTATTCCCTCAAAACAAAACAGGAGAAGGGCCGAACCACCTAAACTTATASAGCGGTTCAGAYCTCCTCGTTCAGAATYAARGAAGCTGARAGAACCCCAAACAAAACGAGGCAACCCAAGGTACCTAAACTTATAGASCGYCTTGGGTCCCTGAAAGTCACCCACAGTCAAACCCTCATAAGTCACAGCAGTCAGGACACCTAARCTTATAGAGCGTCCTGACCCTTCATGCAGTTCACAGCACCAGGTCTCCGGAAACTTATGGGGACATCCCAGCCTCCAGAGCTTCAGGCTACCTAAACTTATARAGCGGCCTKAGGCTCCATGYRGTCCAAAAATAAACAAAGCGYTGGGCTTCCCCAAACTTAWGGGGACCTCCCTGCCYTAGTGACCYAGTCARCCTGCACACAATACTGCCTTCCTCCYAACCTTCCCCCAGATGCAACCCATTTCATTCACAATCTTCTTTCAKACAATCAACAAAACTGRAGCKGAGATTGCACACGCACTCCTTTACTTCAGTCTCACTTAGGTCCTGACAGTCAAACCAAAATCAGAGTACAGGATCCCCACAATACGCTCAGTCAAACGTAGAAAGATCTACAAGTAGGGGTTATAGTTGGATTTATAGAGGGAGTCAAAGAATTATCACTCAGTTCCCTGCCTCCAGGACTCCGCCTGAGTCCCGGCAGAGCTCCCCCACAAAGGCCTTGGCGGGGATCACGGGCCACACGCCCGCGTACCGCCTTCCTCTCAGACCCAAAGGACCAGACTTTTAGAGTACGAAGGGCAGAATAAGGAATAAGACTCTCAGACTCAGGAAGGACACACTCCGACTCACGCGAGAGGGGCTTCAATCCTTCAACGCCTGAGGGCCCCACAATGGCGGCCAAAAAGAGTAGCAGCTTGGTCAACCCTTCCGTCAAACTGCCAAGTCCAGTTCCCCTGACAAGTCC